TATTAGGATCATTAGCAGGCTGAAGTTCTTTTTAAAAAAGGATTTAAACTGAATATAAGTAAAGGGGGAAATTATTTTGAGTGTCTTTCAAATGGATGTGTTTGATAGGGGTATATCGAACTCTTGCTCATCATTCTTCCTCTTTTTCTTTCTTTTTTTCTTTTTTTGGTTTGGTTTTTGAAGACTTCTTCCAGTATTCTTTGTTTCAGTTGTATGCCTTTACAGTGAGGTAAGGGGGAGTCAGTCTGGAGGCAATCTTTTATTATTATTAAGGGAAGCTATGTTGTCTTTTAGGTTGGGATTTCTTCCTTGTTTTTAGGCTCATTAGTAGGAATACCAGATTTAGACAGGTGGTGAGGGGACCAAGTTTGTGGGTAATTTCTTTTAGTAAGATCATTGTGACTTTGAATATTCTACAGCTCCAGTGTTTTCTTCATTGATGGCAGGGTCTGGTATGTCACAGGATTTTCCCCTGAATTGTTTCAGTATTCCATCGGGCACTTTGCCTAAGTTGGTAGTCTTGTGTTGGATTAGAGGTGTTATTGTGAAGTGGCATTGTCCAGCCATAGGTGCCCTGTTTGGGACAGGTTAAAGCAAGACATTTCCATCTGTTAGGTAAAAAATATCCTATAATGTTGAGCCCATGCATAATGCAGACAGTAAGTAGGAATCTGCTAGAGACTCACATCTTCAGGGGGAACGTATCTGCCTTGTCTACAGGAACTCATAATATGAGAGAAACCCTGTCTGGAATACCAGTTTTACAAATGAATTTTTAGATGCCAATTTGATATTCCTTGTGATTGAGTACATTTCTCTATTTACTGAATGTGGGATTATGGGACAAACGTTAGATATAATAAATTTCTTTGGCCTTTGTTACAAGTGGTCTCAACTTCAGTTCATTAGTTTTTTATTTAATAACTTTATGGGTTGTTCGTAAGGTTGTTTCCGGGGGCCTTTTTTATTTTAAAGGTTTTTTTCTGGAAGAAGGCCCCCCTTTAAGGAAAAGAAAAATACACACTCTGTTATTAAGCAATTCTTGATTATGAACCTTATTTTCAACTGGCGTCAATCAATAATCGGATAGACTGTTTATAGTAATCTTAATAGTGAGACTTCTTTGCGTAGTGCGGATAATTATGGCCTGGTCCTTGGTGGGAAACACTTCAGTTGACCATGACATTGCGTAAGTTTCATATTTGAGTGAGTAGAATACCTGAGGTGACGTGTTGAGGGTCTATAGGTAGCCCTGAAATGGTCCCCGGAGGCTCCGCCATCTTGCAGGTTCGCCGCTTGCCCGGCTGACCGTACAGTTGATTTCAGAACACATCACAACTCGTGGGTACAAAGAGATTACGCGCGTAAGTAAACGTTTATTAAGTTTCACAAACTAAATGCAAGTGATAACAACTGTTTCACTGCACGCGATCGGAGCACGATGTGTCTCGGTCGGCTGCCGCAATGGAACTGACTGCTTTTCTTGTTCATCAGTCAATGGGAATTTATTAAGTAACATTAACAGGACATTGTAGTATATTAAAAAACATTGAAACAATTTCAATTATTCCCTAGAAAATGCCCTTCTGGAGATAATGTGCAATATATTTTATATACTTAACGAAACTTCAATTTCACAAAACACTGATGACAAATCCATACAATAAAATAATGGTATAATAATAATATAAACTAAAATCTAATGTAAAAATCTAATAAATAAGATGAAAATGGGAAAGAGAAAATGTGTAGGTAGCTAAATATGTTGTACTGAAAATGAGAATAATAAGTATTATGAATCTAGATAACGAAAATCCAATAATATCACCTACAAATTACACATAATGAATAGTCAATTCATTTAATTTACACAATAATTGGCATAACAGGTTTATTATAACATTTTTATTACAAAAACATTAAAAATTTTCATCACACTGGGGAAAAATACTATAACTGGTGCAATCACGTGGTGGTTAATATTGTAGTATTCCCAGTGTTTGAGTATTATTGGCAAATTACGTGTCACTACATGTGGATTTATAACTCTATGACAATGCGTCATAAGATACAGACAGTGTTGATGGAACGAATTGGTTTTATGAAGGTCATGTGAAGTTTGTATAAAGAGAGTGGCATATTAGTTTCCAAAATTTTATGAGCCATTTCAAGGTACTAATGATTAAATTATTAGTAAAAACACCCCGTACGATGTATTCAAATAATTCTCACTTTATATTGTATGAAAAAAATATTCAGCGAATGACATAATCACATGCGAAAATTTTATAGCTACAAAAAGCTGCATAATCAATCGTTTTTACATTTTAAACTTGCCAATGATTAACGCACAATTTATATTTCTAAGTCAGTAAATGTAAGAATTTAATGCAACTTAAAAATATAGTTTTTGACACGTTAGTTATGCATTTTGATGGACTGAAAATTATAACAAGACATTTATTACTTTAATGTCTGAAATATCTTTTCAATTTTTAATCACATAAATACACCCATATTTTCTACGCTAAAGCTTGGCACTGATCATTCAAGATATTCTACAAATATTAAAATGTTTACGAGGTGTTTCACAGTTCCCACCGATATTTCAACGCCTCGCCGGGACATTAATTTTGTGTGCATTTTATCAGGCGTAACCAGTGTAATGTCACGCGATCCAGGGTTGTGTTGATGTGGACAATGTACGCAATGTTCTAGGGCCTGAAATACATGGGCGTTGCCTGCTATAAAGTGTCAACCTCTTTAACTTGCTTACGGCTCCTTCGATAAGATAGGGGCTGACTTCTCGCTCATTCCTCTTGGTGCTGGCGTTAACTAGGTTCTTATGAATTCTGACGCTGCCTTGGAGTTTGTCTTGGTTCACTGTCCTTCGTGATTCAAAGTTGAAGAAAGTGAGGAAGAAAATGTATTACACGTTATGTTTTTACCACCGTAATGAATTCTCATAATCACCGTAAAATTATTAATGCAAAACAATGTGTTTAAACGATTAATCTATTAGCTTTAAAAGAAACGTACCCAGCTGTAAGTTGACAGTAATTAATGAGTCCAAAGATGGTCTTGGGTTTATTTTTGGAAAGCATTACGGTACTCCCTCCGCGATTCCTACACTGAACTCTCTGGCTAGATGTGTTTGCCGACTGAGCTCTCGTATATTGGTCGGGAAGAAAAGGAATAATCAGAATTGTGAATTATGTAAAACTAACACTAATTCATCTATCAAACAATTCATACAAACATATTGAAAAGGGAAGAAATACTAAAGTACTGGTCTAGGACAATTCTACGATGTAAATTGTGTAATTTCACTAATATGAGTTCTTGAATATTTTTTAGATATATGAAACAAAATTTTGGAATTGTTAATGAGTTTATTAATTATTTATCTTTCGAGGCCTGTAATTAATATTTCTTTGAATCTGCTCACTTATCAATCCTTTCAACCATCACGAAATAGCAGCTTCGTGGTTTGTTAATGCAGTTTTGATATTTCTTCCACATACGAATATTCTCTTCACGACATTGAGAATACTTCTCACGTCTCTGAATGACTGTAAGATAATCTCAGTTTCCTGAATATTAACATTCACTGATATATTAATTTTTGTGCTTTCACATTCTTTCACGATTCTATTTAAATATTTAGTAACAATTCCGGAATAAATAATATACCAAATGTTAAGCAATGCATTTTTTACACGAAAAGAAAGAAGAGTTGCAGTATACCAGATCCATGATTATATAACAAGGGAACTTGCTACAGTATCATGGATCTGGTATACTGCAACTGTTCTTTCTTTTCCACTTATTTAGAAATTCATAATCTTATTGCATCATTAAGCTATTCAAACTCGTTTATAAAATAAGAAAAGAAATGAATGTTGTTTCGAAATACACTACCATATTTTCTTTTTTATCGAAACACTCTTATCGAAAAGTTAAGAAAATATATTTTTCTGACATCGTAAAAGTAATTTAATGTCTATATGTATAGTACACGGAATTTAATTTATTCCAAATTCCATGGTATTTACTACTTAAGTAACAGTGATGTTTGACACTTAATGCTAATAGAAATTTGCATCTAACTTAAATAAGGGGGCGGGTTGAAATAAAGATTCAAAATGTAAAAAACAAACAATAATTTATTAATTTAATAACTGAAATTAGTGTAAACAACAAAACATAAACAGCTTGATGAAAAACAGAAAATGCGGTGAAAATAACATGACAGGGAATAAACCAGGCTTCCCAAAATCAGGAGCCTTGGAGCCACCGATTAGGATAGCTGCAGGCAAACAAGTAGACGCCAGGGTTACGTGCAATACTTCACGGCCAGTTCAGGGAAAACTGGAGTGTGAGGAGCGGCAGGCCGAGCGCAGAGAGGAAAGGAGGGGGGCAGAGCGGGAAGGAGAGGGGAGGAAATGGCTTCAACGCTGCCGAGGGCAGGCATTATGCAAACCACGAATCCACCTGGTTTTGCAGGGGTGGTGCATTTGATACTTGGCTGTCCGGGATGATCCGCGTCTCAGTCGATCGAGCTGACGTTTCGGTCATCATATTGCGGCCTTCTTCTGAGCTATACTTCTGCCGAGAGGCAAACAGGATGTCCGGATCGTCAGCTCGACCGACTGAGACGCGGCTCATCCCGGACAGCCAAGAATCATATGACTCCGGCCCGCAGAAACCTTCGAATCCAGGTGTATACTTGGATTTATTTAGAGCTACCTCTGACGTAAATCATCTGTTACTGTGCCATCCAATCGGAAGGTTGGACATCACCAATGACGTCACCGTTGTGAAATGCACGCTTCCGATTGGATGTAACAGCTGATGACCTGTCAGAGGCCGCTGTAAATAAATCGCAGTGTAGAATGCGCTCATATGCCGGTCTGCTGCGCCACCCACTGGCGCAGGCTGGCCACGTCGGTGTTAACGCCGGGGTAGTTGGGCCGCGCGCAGCCGATGCCCCACGAGACGATGCCCACGAGCTGGCCCTGAGCCACCAGCGGGCCGCCCGAGTCGCCCTGGCACGCGTCCTTGCCGCCGCCCGGCACCCCGGCACACAGCATACGCGGCGTCACCCCGCCGAAGAGCTGGTAGGCACGGTTGCACTCCGCGTGCTCCACCACCTGCGCAGCCACACACGGCACTCGCCACTCATCCTTTTCATTTAACGTAAAATGAGAGTTAAAATGGTACGTGACGTATGACAAAAAAAGTAAAATTAATAGATGTTAGTTTAGTTAATGACTTATTTTACGTGGCGAGACTCGGGCCATCCTCGCTCGCTCTTCCGTCTGACCACGCAAATTTCGCTACTTCACCCACTAGCGGAGAAAGGAGGTATCACCAGGGCCACGAAACAGACTATTTAAATAAAGCTCGGAGGCTTCTTTAAAGGTTGAGGATCTTTTACTTAAGTAAATCTACTACATAGGACAGCCGGATTTACTTTCCCTCAGAAAGAAAGCGTACGAAAAATGTTTTCTCAATCTCTGTTATTCTTACCTCCTGTCTCGTTGTACACTAAGTTGAATTATGAATAAAGGTAGCAACACGTATTTGTGGCAATATTAAAATAAATATTCGCTCTCTTGTAAAATGAAACTGTTTCCATCGATAAATAAGCTTCTAATTTTGATATTTGTCCCTTATTGACTCACACGTGTTTGATGGTACTAATGGCAAAACAACTAAATTTCCCACTAACACCCCCATAGAGCTGCAGATTACGTACATAGATATCAGAGATACATTTATGTCCAAAAGCAAGGAAGAATCTTTTCCCAAAAGGTTAAGGGAAATGCAGATAAAATATGTCAAGATTATAATTGGTATTATTTTTTAAAGATATTACAATAGTTTGTATTATGTGAAATATTGAGTAATTAAATTAACATAAAACGTTATGCTTCATTAATTTTAATAAATATTTACTAGGAACTATCCTTGCAAATAAGAAATAATACAGAGTATTTTAAATACCAGCACTATAAACGACCTTTTCTGTTGCAAGTAATTGTTCATAATTTGAAATTTTACGGCACAAATGATGACATATAAGCATATTACGGTCCAAATTATTGGATCATTACACATTCTGCCGATCGCAGCGAGAGAATCGTGGGGAGGTACAGGCAAACGAAACAGATGACCACAGTTTTCTTGCACAGATGTCAAATATCTGAGACGTCACAAGATGTTTCGCAAAATTAAGTTTGATTATCACATACATTTATAATGCTGTTATATAAAAAAGTAGTGTATGCAATTCGTTTGTAATGTTGCTTTATTGCAGTCGTACGAATTTGAAAACGCGCTTCTAACGTCACTCGGTTTCAAAATATGCAAAAAAGCTTATCATTAGAAATTAATGGAAAAAACAACTATTTCCATCTCATCCGTTTGCGGAGTCTCGCAAAAGATTTTTCTTAAAATTAAGTTCGATTATCTAATGCATATATAATGCTGTTTTAAAAAGAAGTAGCGTATGCAATTCGTTTATAATGTTGCTTTATTGTAGTCGTACGAATTTGAAAACTCGCTTCTAACGTCACTCGTTTTCAAAATATGCAAAAAAGTTATAATTAAAATTATGGCTCAAAACAATTATTTTCCATCTCATCCGTTGGCGGAGTCTCGCAAAAGATTTTTCTCAAAATTAAGTTCGATTATCTAATGCATATATAATGCTGTTTTAAAAGGAAGTAGCGTATGCAATTCGTTTATAATGTTGCTTTATTGTAGTCGTGCGAATTTGAAAACTCGCTTCTAACGTCGCTCGTTTTCAAAACATGTGAAAGAGCTTATAATTATAAATTAATAGCATAAAGTACTATTTGGATCCCATCAGTTTCCAAAAGCGCTTTGAGGAGCGTCCACCGACCTGGAGGTCGACGGCCTGCAGCTGGTCGGGCAGCGGGCCGCTCTCGCGGAGGGTGCCCCAGCCGGAGACGGTGATGGCGGAGCCGGCGTCGGGGGAGGCGTCGGCCAGGGGGATGGCGGCGATGCCCTCCTGCCCCAGCGGGAACGGCGTCGCCACGCGCACCACGGCGATGTCGTAGTCGATGGTGTAGTAGTCGTACTGCGGGTGAGCGGTGATCTTCTCGGCCTGCGTCACGAACCCGCCGCTGCCGCGCTTGCTGGAGCCCGCTCGGAAACTCACGGCGGACTCGCGGGATCTGGAAAGTGGGACCGGAAGAGTAACTCGCTGTATCAACTGACGCCACTGCTGTGCATCTCACCGAGAGGTCCTAGGGACGAGACCCGACACTGGCAAAATTTTCGACTCTAGCTTGTCAGCTAGGTCGAATTCAGTTGCTGTCTGGAGGAGAATTTTAGCGGCCGGCTGCTCTGATCGGGAGTTTTCCGTGGTTTCGCCGATCCACACCAGGCGAATGCCGGAGCAGTACCCTCACAAAGGGGCCACGGACCGCGCGCGATCTTTCCTTCCTCTTCCTTGTTCTAACCTCACTCCTTACACATATTTACTCTAATAAGCACTACACTAGCACAAAGGCCGGGGGATCGGTCGGGAGCTTAGAGCTTCTTCCAGTTGGAGCGGTGCCCTGCTGGTGGGAGATACCTGGTTGAGGGAAAGCTCACTAGCCGACGGTAGGTCGATGCCGGATCTTGCCATCTCGCAGAGGAAGATCACCGCTACCGCACAAGCAAAAACATACACTATACTTACGGGACTAATTACTTCAGTAGTTAACGCGCCGGGAATCACTAAAAACCAATCCACCAACCAACTTAGAAAGAGGGGCACATGCAATTATTGTGTGTTAGGGCTAATAAAACGTTACGTTGTGTTTTGGAGTTCTGGAAAATATGTCACACTTGGAAAATGTGTCACTCTAGGAAAATCAAAAATTTATTTCCTTTTTCGTCCGGGTACGAAACAATTTTTATAATTAGCCCCTTTATGCGCTTACCACAGCTTCGTGAGTTGCTTATTTGAAGCAAATACAATTGAGAATCGTTATAATGAATTTCAATGATGAAATTTCACAATTACGTTTTTCTGCTGACATATTCCGCTACGATATTCCACGAAAGTTGATGTTATGGGAAGTTGTGATTCAACTATTGAGCAGATATTTCATGAATGTTACTCCTTTCATTAATAGATCTCAAAGATCTCTGTAGTTCAAAAGAAGTTTTAGCATATTTGTGATAGTTTATTTGTTAAAAAATAATACAATGAATAACAAATATTGTTTAATAATTCAAATTTGTAAACAACAAACCTTAGACAGGGATATTCACTTCTTATAATAGAAACATGCGAAAATAGTTAAATTTTAGATATTGGTGTAAGAGTTTACTATACACATCCGGTCGTTTGTCAGATAAATAATAATAATAATAAATAATAATAATAATAATAATAATAATAACAATAAAATTAGAATAATAAAACTTTTTATAGAACTATCAGAGAACAAGGTTTTACTCTAATCATAATAACTTTTATTCATATTTGTCAATTTCTCGAGACAGAAATATATATTTTGAAAATTTTAGACTCTAGTAAATGAGGCCGTTTTAAAGTTGTCAATTATGATCATGTACGTATGAATTAAAATTAGGAGTCGATCATGGAAAAGTTTGACTTAAAATTGTTATATATAGTATCTTAATAAAATCTGTTTACGGTAATACTTTTGATAAATGGTAATACTTTTTAGCTGTTTTAATGTTTTTAGACTTAGTAACAGTAATACATATTATTAAGAAAGAAATAGCCTATAAAATCGATGTAATTGTTTCAGATGACTTACCCATCAACGCAATGAGCTGCAGTAATTGCATAATTTTCACTTATAATCGCGGCACCGCATATGTGTTTGCCGTTGTAGAGAAAGACGAGCTGTTGAACAAACAAAATGTTCAGATTTTAATTCACACTTTAATTTAATAATTCATTATGCACGGAAATGAATAATTGTTTCTGATAGGAGACAAATATGCAGATAATTATCGTGAGCTGTCCTAGCAATAAAGTTGTGTCAGTGAAATTAAGTGACGTACCACGAACGTTCGTTTGAGTTGCACGGCGTTAAACGTATCATAGATTACGTTAATCTCACGTGATCTTAAATTTCACGTCCTCTAACGATACTGTGCAAGGATATGCGCTCAGAAATGTCGGACCCAAGAGTGGGTTACCACCGCCCCGATAAGATAACTCTCAAGTGCTCTTTCATTGTGAGCTTGGCTGGCGTTAACACGCGTCATGAATAGTGTTGCTGTAGAGCGCTGGATATGGAATTCTCTCTGAAATCTCTGATAGTGGCCTTCACCCTGTGCAGAGCTTTATAAAGCAGGTCAACTGCAATCTACAATAAAAACGCACCTGATAAGGAAATTCCTTGATGTCCACCGGATCACCGCCCACAATCCTGCCATCAAGACGCGGTCTTGCAATGCGAAGATGGGCACCTGCGAGGAAGAAAACAAAGGAATTGTTCAAAATGTTGCATTAGGCCTATAGAGCGTTGAAGAGATCTGTCGGTAACAATGTGATGAACTTTATCAAATTATTTGACTGAAAGAGATTCCAAATAGCAATTTGCGTCACAAAGCTATCAAAATTTGTTTGTATTTCAGAATTACTTTTGTTAGTTGGGAATATGAACGAAATTGTGGAAAATAATTAATGATAAGTAAACGATAGACGATCTATTTTTTCTATTGTATATGATAAAAGTTATTTTCATAAAGTATGGTATTTCTTCATATTGCGCATATTAAAACGAACTCAATTGCGTAAACTAAAATCATAAATTCTAAGATAAATTTTACTTTCTGAATCATTAAGTTCATAATTGTTCGTCATTAATAATATGAAATACGAAAATTTTACAATGAGATATTCAATATTTTGTAAAATGTTGGAATATCGCAACAACAAAAAAAAATACGAAAAGGAACAAACAACATTAACCCATCTTCCCGAGAAAGAGTTTTATTTTGGTTGGAAAATTCAGCAACAATTTTCAGTTTGACTTCATACGAACGTGAATACCTAATATGTAAAATTTGCATTGAAAATTCTGACTACTCTGTAGAAATATAGCTGTGAATATTTTGGGAAATTCTTATAATGCTATAAGATACTCGAACTTCCAATCTTTGGAACTGATACTCTAATACACTGAGAAAATACGAGACGAAACACTAAATGAATTAACTTTACCTAAAAAATGAAGAAAATCACCATTAAAATGTTGCTTTAAGATACGCTCATCCATAGATCATTCGTGAATATATAAAAGGTTTAATTTTGCTAAAGCAATTCGTTACTGATGATCTGCTTTACATTTTTATTTCTAGTATCATCGTCGTTTTATGCCGCACGTGTTTTTCATACGAAATTCAGACACATTATGCATATTTAATATATTTTTCATTCAAAAATTTAATATGTATAATTATTCGTGCTTTCCTTAGTTTCAAGTTTATAACTTCCTATCCTTTTAAAAACTGTATGTTCTACATCTTTTGTGTACTATACACTGCGCAAAAACATGTTCCAACTGGCGTTTAAAAGTATGGAGGCATATTTACTATCCGAACGCCAAATAGTAAACAAGAGCGTCTGTCGAAAACGTCAAATTACATGATCCATACGGTTCACAACATTTGAGAGAGGGCGCGCCGCAATTGCCCTATATGAAAATGACAGATGCTGACAATATAGAGAACGCTACGGGCACTCTTTATACTCCATATAACTCGCAATGTAGTATTTCGCTGTGCGCATCACATCGGCGACGCGTCGCTGCCATCACTCACCGAAGCAGCCGACCAGCAACACCGACGCGACCAGGGCACGCAGCATGATGGCGGTTGGAGCCGGCCGACGGGAGCAGATGGCCGGAGGGTGGCCGGCGTCTTATATACTCGCGTCCTGCGAGGACCTTTGCGTCGGAGGCCTTGGTCGCGTTTGCCTCGCACGTGGCGACCCCTTCCTGTCGCGACCGCTGGAGTGCCGGCGCCCAGCGGCGACCTATTTCGACGACTCTGATGCGCAGGAGATTTGCTGCTCACTTGACCTCGCGCAGATGGCAGGGCTTAGCACGTGACAATCGTAAAGACGGATAGGTAATTGTAAATGAATGTGAAGTTGGAAAATAATGGGTGGGGTATGGGAGTCGATGTGTGAGTTTAGATGGCCTTTCACTTGTCATGTATTAAGGGCACCTCGCTGATATTATTTCAAGGAAATGTGATAATGTGTCGGATTAACTTTCATGATCAAAGAGCTTCAGCAATTTGATCTTTTTATAGACTTCGTTTAATATAAGTGAAATTGGCTGTCACTGTGTCTCGTGTGAACTTAAAAACTAATAGTAAGATGTCGAATCATTCCCAAAATCATCATCTTTGTTAATATAGCACGAGGTTTCATGAACGTTTTCTCATAAGAGCTCACTTACGACCGATAACATTTTAAACACTTTTAATGTATTTTTGTATAAAGTACACCCAACATAACTTAATTGAACTGTAGGTCGATTTAAATATAGATTTATAGTACAAGTATACCTTCAATATGAATGTGGAATTTAAATTAGATTACTTGACTATTACTTATGTGTCTAATACTTTATTGACCGAATTTTTAAAAAAAAATCTTTCTCCGGAAGTTCGTGATCCCCCGACTGATTAAAGTACAAAATTTTAAGCAGCCATGTTATGGCATGTATTGTTTTCGACCTTAATAATACTCCTACATTTTGCGAGTATTGTCAAAATTCATGTAATATTTTCACAGAGTATCTACACTTTTATTTCCGATACCTTCACTTGAGTTAACGTTACTGAATATTTTGAAAACATAGATATTCCCCCTAATTTTTAATTTTCAAAACAATCCTCGAATATAAGCATTTTTTTATTTTGTAGTCTATGATGCTCGATAGAACAAGTCAAAACGTCTGCGTAATTCTATGTCATTGACTCCGAGATGCATAAAGGCATAGCATTCCAAAATTTCGCATCTTCTGTTGGTTGCGTTTTGTCATCACTTGCTCAAAGGTGCGTCAGGCAAGACGCCCCGCCGAGCAAACCCTTCCAATTATAGGCGCAATACAAGGGCCCGTGGCGGCCTCCCCACCACGGATGAAATATGCGCGACATTAAAGCAAAATTCCTCGCTTCTAAATTCCACGATACATTCCCGACGCGTATGACGCTTAAGTAAACAAATTTCGGGGTGAATGAGTACGTCAGCTTGCTTTAAGCACGGATCGTTCCGGGTGGGGGGCGGGGAGGGAAGTC